CTCCTCCTCCTCCTCCTCCTCCTCCTCCTCCTCCTCCTCTTCTTCTTCGTCTTCCTCCTCCTCCTCCTCCTCCTCCTCCTCCTCCCAAACATGGGTCAATGCGACCCTGGCCCTGCAGGATCCTGCAAGATCGGGCGCGCTGGCTGACCCCCGTTTGCATTGACCCTGTCTCTTGAGCCCCGACCCCTCTGAAGAAGCAACCCTCCAGCCCAGGCCTTGGAAGGCGAATTATGGGTATCCTCGCCCCGGTGCGGTCGGCCCAGACGGCCAGCGCGGTCCTGGGCCCAGGACTGGTGCAGGACGCGGACGCCCTCCTGGTTACAGCTGGACCTCGACCACGAGAGACCTTCCACAGGAGACCCAGCCCTGAGACTCCAGTGTGTCCGTTGATTTGCGGTGTGGGAACGCCACGCTTTCCATCGCAAAGCAATCGAAACCCAAGAAGCCCAGAGCACCCTTGAGGTAAGCAGGGTGCTTCTTGGCCTGCGTTTCCGTACGTGGTCCCACAGGGCGTATGCGTCTGGTTCGCGTCGCAATGACGTCGGCGTTGGCTTTCTGACACCGCGTAAACCGTTCAGCCTTGAAGCGTCGCGGTCTGTCACTAGCGAAAAGATCGATCGATATCGGCCGATTCCAGGACACTGGCGGCGTTAATTGCACGCCCGCGATGAGGTCGCCGCAACGTCACCGCGGTGAAAACCTGCTGCAATGTAGGATGACCACGAGACAACAAAAAAGGGGAACGATTGAGCAAGTAGTCTCTTGCCGCTCGGGAACATCTTGGAGGGAACGACACAATCCCGATGATGGCGGCGACAGCGCCCACAAGCAGACCCGGAACCCAACATTTACAGTTCATCGCCCAGGGCGTTTCTGCGTGACGGCCCCCCCGCGGACATTTCTAGCACAATCAACCAAAGCACTATAAACATAACGTGTTGGAATTATGTTGTTCCCATCGTATTCAAGGGCCACACATCCTGAAACTAATTTCGAGCGGCCGGAAAATTATCGAAAGAGTTTATGTCCGACGCGCCCGCGAATGATCGAACGAGTCTCGCCTCCTACCCTTCACGTGAAAACCTTTCAGATTCGGTACTCTCTTGGTGTTCGAAATTCTTTATGATGGTCAGGCCAACGCAGGTTGGGACATCATAATTGGGGGTCCACGCAGATTCCTTGTATCGGCGCCAAAAGCATTGTCAGGGGCCCAGCGCCAATCCAAAGAAACCTGGGCGGACCCCAACAACATATGTGTACGTCAGATGTCCTTCTTCGGCTTTCTTAACCGCCATCCTACATCATACGCCGATCGTGTGCTTCTGGACACGGGTGCACCTTAAGGCATCGTCGTCGCTGGCATCGTATCGGCCTCATCATCAATGTCATCACCATCGGCATAAACATCATCACCACTGTCACCACCATCGTCGTGGGCTTCCCGTTATCATCGCCACCATCCTTTCGCGACCTGCTAACGGACTTGCCTGCGCGCTGGTTTTACGCGCCAGTGCGCTCGTTGATATCATGGACAAGTGAGCGCTGCCAGCAATTTGCGGGTGGGAAGGCGAAGCGTTTGCAGGAGCACTGGAGTTGACGGCTGCAGTGTCCACAAGTGAGCACACCCCTAGGCCTGTGGGGAAAAAAGAGTAACTGAAGGGCCGATCCCCTCCCGAGTATCCGTTGGTAATGGCGGTAACGAAGATGTGAAGGACGATGCTGAAGGTTTTACCCTTCTCCTCTGTCCTAAAGTCAACGTTGTACGTTCCGATGACCGTGAGCCGAAGCGGGCAAAGTGAAGGATTGGATGCGGAGGGGGTTCACACACAAACCTTTGCCCCCGTCGTGGACGGCGACCGCTGGTTTCGCCGACGGCTGGTTTCGCCCGGCTGGTTTCGCCGCCCAGCGAAATCAGCTCCGTCGGCGAAACCAACTGCTGTCGGCGAAACCACCTGCCGTCGGCGCAACCAGCTGCCGTCGGCGAAACTGCCCGACCCGACACGACCCGCTAGGGTCCGCCCGCCCGACCCGACCCGCCCGTTAGGGTTCGCGCGTGATCAATCGAGCGCGCCCTACACTTCAATGTCCCGCCCGCCCGACCCGACCCGCCCGTTAGGGTCCGCCCGCCCGCCCTGACCCGACCCGCCCGCTGGGGTACGCCCGCCCGCCCCGACTTGTCCGTCAGGGTTGGCGCGTGTTCGGTCGAGCGCGCCCCACACTTGACTGTCCCGCCCGCCCGACACGGCCCGCCCAGTAGGGTCCGCCTGCCCGACCCGACCCGCCTGTTAGGGTTGGCGCGTCATCGGTCGAGCGCGCCCCACACTTTAATGTCCCGCCCACCCGACCCGACCCGCCCGTTAGGGTCCGCCCGCCCGCCCCGACCCGACCCGCCCGCTGGGGTCCGCCAGCCCGCCCCGATCCGCCCGTTAGGATGCGCCCCACACTGTAAGGTTCCGTCCGCCCGACCCGACCGGCCCGAGAGGATCTGCCCGCCCGACCCGACCCGAACCGGCCGCCAGGGTCCGCCTGCCCGACCCGACCCGCCCGCCGTTAAGGCTCGCGTCGGCGAAACCAGCGCCGGCGAAACCAGCCGCTGGCGAAACTAGCGGGGCGAAACCAGCGGGGCGAAACCAGCGCCAGCGAAACCAGCGCCGGCGAAACCGACCGTCGGCGAAACCAGCGGGGCTAAACCAGCGCCGGCGAAACCAGCTCATGCTTCGTGGACGCCCCCCGCACTTCATCGCTACCCCACATCGCGCACCGCGGTCGTGCGCCTCAGGGCGGGCCTGGGCATGCTCGGCGCGCAAACGTTGCCCGCCGCCGGAGCGCGCCCGCCCGGCTCCTGCTGGAGCAGCGCGCGCAACTGCTCGACGTGCTTCTCCCAGAACGGGTACACCTACACCCAGGCGGCGCCACCGGTGAGGGGGAACGGCTACGACAACCAGCTTCACGCTCTCGCGCCGCCCCCCGCCAGCCCCTCGCTCTCGCTCTGACATCGCCCAGACCGCGAAGCGCCAAGAACTTTGCACCCTCGTGGTGCCCCTGGGGACGGCAGGGATGCGGGGTGAGCCAACAGGCCCCTGTCGGCGATCCATGGACGAATGGGGGTCGATGCTGCGAGGCGGGGATTCATCCATATCCACCGCCTGGGGAACGACGTCCTGGTGCCCCAGCGGGCGGTGGATATGGATAGATTTTGGCCCCCGGGGGGCCTAAATATATCCATATCCACCGCCTGTGGAGGTCCGCGGAGATCGACCCCTCAGGCGGTGGTTGTGGACAAATCCCCGCCGCGAAGCTGCGCCCCCCCGCCCGAGCCTCACCCCGCACGTTCCTGGGCGGGGCGAGGTCGTCGAGCCCCAGTCGGCCACGAGTGGGCGATTGAGGGTCGATGGCTCCCCCCGTGCGGCAGCCCCCCTTCGTCGTGGCTCGGGGCCGCCAGATCCGCGAGGGCCCCGAGCCACGAGACGGGGCGCCTGCAAGCCCGCGGTGCTGTTTCGCGACGGAGGGGACGTCGGAGACGACGGGTGTGCCTTGAGACGAAGCCGGGACGATGACAAATTCGGGTGAGGATAAATCGAGAATCTCTGAGATGCGGCGGCTCTGGAGGACGTCTCGGACGCCGCGGCCTTCTCAGAGCGTTCCGGAACGGATTTATCCTCGTCTTAGTCCCGTCCGAACCTCCCAAGATCAGTCAGCAGTCACCAACATCGGATCGGGTAACTGGATCGAATCAGAAGGTGCGTCAGATTGGGCTGCATCGGTATCGAAACGGGATCGGATCGGCCGCGCCAGTACGCGCAAAAGAGCCGTGCCACCATCGGGCCGCGTCGGATCGAGAGATATCTTCGAAATCGAATCGTGCCGACCAGCATCGGCATCGAATCGAATCGAAATGGACCCTGCTGGGCCCGCCGCCCTCCAAGGAGACATGCACCTCCCACCATGGGGCAACCCCCTTACCAACCCACTCCAAATTCGCCGCCAGATGGAGTAGACGGAGAAGCCTCCCTCATATGACCTGGTGCGGAAGGCGAAAGTTGGGGGTGGAAGCTGTCCTATGATCTCTGGCATCCGACGCCATGTGTTCTCCAGCCGCCGCCCTCAGAGCCCTCAGAGACGACGGGTGCACCTCCGTGCCGCTGCCAGCGAGGTACGCCTCCACGGCCTCGACGTCGCCCTCCAGCGACGAGCGGTCGGCATCTGGGCTGGCGCTCCGGGCCATCAGCGCGGCGAACGGCGTCGCCTTACGGCGCCGACGACGACCACGACGACGACAATGGAGGTGGCGGCGGCGGTGGCCTCTTTTCAACTGAGCTGCGAGACGGGGATTTATCCATAACCACCGCCTGTGGATCGATCTTCGGGGACATCGGTAGGGTGTGGATATGGATACATTTTGCACACCCCTACGGCCCGACGAGTCCACAGCCTGCCGAGGCCCCCAAGGATCGATCCCACAGACGGTGGTTATGGATAAATCGCCGCCTCAGATGAGCCCGAATAGTTTTCTGCTTTCGCTTAATCTGGGTCTCTGGGGGGCTGTCGCCATAGTTGGATCCGCCTCGGGATTCTGGTCAGAACACGCTCCAGGAGAGGTCTGTGTGATAGGGAGGCGGGCAAGATCGGTGATCAACCAGTGACGAATCGGGACACCCGAGTGCATCGGCACGTGCGTCGGATCGGGTCGCCTCGGCACGGAATCGAGATCAAACCAGATCGGCCGCACCAAGATGCACGACAGCGCCCATGCGACCATCGGGCCTCGTCGGATCGTCGGGAGACTCCTTGGCCATGAACCTATAGTGGCGCTGGCAGAAACGAGACACGGGTCCTGAACCTGGGGCTTTCCCCTGGGACCAAGTCTTCGTCCTGAACATGAGTTCTCCAATCACGGCCGGACCTAAGACAAACAAGCATCCTCCGGGAACATGAGACCAAACGCCGGCCAATATGAAGATCACTCGAAGGTATACCCTCCCCCAGGATGCACAGGAACAGCCAACAAACACGGAGAACTTCAAGGTACTCTCCCCGAACCGACCTCGATCTTGGTTCTCGGTCCGACCGTACACATCAGTCGGATGAAGCAGGTACAAGCATGACGTATGAAGGCGTTGAAAGTAGATCGGGCTCCCGTCCGCCCCCTGAAGAGGAGGGAAGAGAGAACGCCTCTGGACTCTTGGAGTAGGACGGCGCCTGAAGTAGACTGGGACCTGGGACTCCAGACATACCTGTTTTCAACGACTGGCGGGTACGGCAGGTTCGTGTCGTGTCGACCCCAGCTTTGGTTCCTGACACCACGGGGATCCTTCAACCTTGAACGATCGGCCGTTTCCGAGACGTCAGATCGTTCAACATCGACCGAACCTGGGTCGCTGGCGGCGTTCAATGCTGAGCGCTGGCGGCGGGGTCGCCGCAAATCGACACGGCGCGAACCTACCGCAGTATTGCGGTGCCCGGGAGGGTCTTACTCTGGGCTTCTTGATAGGCATGGGGGGGTACCCCTCGACGGGGCTCAATCTCGCCTCGTCGTCGCGCCGCGACGGGGGTCGGAGCGCCTTCGGCGCGCGGTGGCCGACCGCGACGGGGGTCGATGCGGGGCTGTCGGCGGGGGTGACGCCCCCCGACGCTTCTTAAGAAACTCGGAACAGTCTTCTTGCCGTCGCTCGGACGTCCATTTCCCGTGCATTTTTCGGTTTCGTGCGTGTTTTTTTTGCTCGATGGTCCAGGATGTTCCTCAAAGGGTCCTCGCCGAGAAAAAAAGACACACGTCCGAGCGATGCCAGGTCTTGCGGTGCCCGGGAGGGTCTTGCCTGTTTCGGGAGGGCCGGTGGGAGCGCGGCGTGCGCCGCCGGACCTGCCCCGGGCCAGCCCGGTCCTGTTTTTTTTTCGCTGCCGTGGCCTTGCTGTGCTGCAGGTCGCCTTCCTCGGGTTGCTTGGCCCCTGCCCCCTTGCTGCGCCCCTCGGGCTGCGTGGTCTCGCCTCCCAGAGCAGGGCCAGGCAGCGCCAAGCAGCGCCGAGCAGCGCCGAGCAACGCCAGGCAGCGGAAAGCCACCCCAAGCTGCGCCAGGCAACGCCAAGCGGAGCAAGCAACGCCGAACAGTGCCAATCAGCGCCCAGCACCGCTAAAAAGTGCCAAGCAACGCAAAGAAATGGCAAGCACTGCCCAGGAATACCCAGCAATGCTGAGCAACGCCAAGCAGTGCAAAACAATGCAATGCCAAGCAATGCCACTTAGGAAACGTTCCCATAATTGAGGTCGCGCCAGGTTCACTTGACAGTCCTGGGGACCTGAAGCGGCCCCCAAAGGTCGAAATTAGCGAAACAACAGAGGACCCCTCTCCCTCACAACCCCTGTCCTGCATGGCTGAATGTCGGAGACGAGTCGGATCGAGCCGGCCAGAAAGACATCGAATCGGCGAAGCGGGCCCTGGGTGGTGGCGACATGATGATGGTGCTGCTGCGTCTGATGATGACAGTGATGGGACAATGATGTGATGAAGATTCGGGTAGACGTAAGACTCGGGTTCGGGGGAACTGGGCTTGATCTCACGGGGCCGTCCAGAAAATCACGACGCCATCTCTGAAATTTGACGCGAACTCCCGCTGCAAACATCTCACGAGCACTGGACCGTCACAACCCACGGCGGGCTCGTAAAGAAGCGGAGGCGAAACCGAGATCCAGGTCTCGGAAAAAAAATAGCGAACACTCATGCCATATTCATCTGTCAACGCCTCCCCCTCCCCCCAATGTTCAAAGTTGGCGCTGGGCCTGATGAGTTGCACCTCGACCGCAGTCTTCCCCGCGCGTGCCAACTTTGAAGTTGGGGGGCAGAAAGGGTGTTTACTACCACCCATCGGTCGGAAGAAGTAGGTAGAAACATGACGTAGGAAGGCGTTGAAGTAGATTGGGGTTCCGCCCACCCCATAAAGAGCACGGGAACGGTGAGGCCACTCGATCATTGAAGTAGGAAGGCGCCCAAAGTAGATTGGAATCTGGGAACCCAGAAATACCTACTTTCAACGACCGATGGGTAATTTTAAGTCGGGCGTGTCCCCCCACAGGGGGATTTTGGGCGACAAGATCAAACATACTCAAAAGTACCTCTCAAATAGGCAAAAGTAATCAACACAATCGTCCCCATAATTTTCTGACTATTTTGGAATATCCCTCCTGAGATGGACAGGCCCGACTTAAAGGTAATTGTTTCCCTCTACCGTCTGGCGCACTCGAGCCCCGGTTGACGTCGTCTCACTCCCTGCCTGTCCTCCCATGCCGCTGTACGTCTTACGCTGTCCGTGAACCCATATGGGATCGAAACCAACCTTCTCGAATTTACCCTCTGCGCTAACAGCCCAAGCTTTACCGTGACAACCAGAAATACAACCCTCGTCTCGAATAACCCAAAAACACCTTCGTCCTGGAAGACGTCAACCGTACGACCGTCTGGCGCTCCCCCGGGAGATGGGCGAACGGTGGCGCCGCGTCGCCTGGCGGCTCGCCGCCCGCTCGGGGTTGGTCTGCGCCGCGCGGTCGACGAGACCCCTGGTGCACGGCTTCCCCCGGGGCCGTAGGCGACCGAGGAGGAGGAGGAGGAGGAGGAGGAGGAGGAGGAGGAGGAGGAGGAGGGGGAGGAGGAGGACGAGGAGGTGGTGGAGGAGGAGGAGGAGGAGGAGGAGGAGGAGGAGGAGGAGGGAGGAGGAGGGGTCGCCTAAGCCCTTCGGAGAAACCTTCCAACCCCTGGGCCTCCTCCTGGACGGCCACCGCACCTCCTCGGGGGCCTCCTCGGGGACCTGCACCGACGCCTGCACCGACGCGTCCTCGGGCGTGGCAGCGACGGCTCGGAGGAGGAGGAGGACGAGGAGGAGGAGGAGGAGGAGGAGGAGGAGGAGAGATTGTTCGTCCCGCCCACCGTGCGCACAGCTCATCACACATATGACCGCGGCCGTGCAGTCGCCAGTGCACGTGCGTGCTGTGTGAGCCTCTTTCCCCTGAACCTTGCCATCGCTCGGGCGTCCATTCCTGGTTCATTTTTTGTCGGCTTCGTGCGCGCATGCCTTCGCAGGGTGAATCAGGATTCTCCTCGATGGTCCCCGCCGGGACAAAATGCACGCGTCCGAGCGATGTCAAGCTGGGGGCAGGACCAATCAGCCTCGAATCGGGCAGTCGGGGTGCATCGGAGCGTGCGTCGGATCGGGCCGCTATCGGCGCGGGGTCGAGATCGAAGCGTGTCGGCCGCGCAAGGGTGCACGACCAGCGCCCATGAAAGCAGCGGACCGCAAAAGATCGTCGGCATATCTGCCATGAAATACACTGGTGCTGGTGGGAACAAGTCAGGTCCTGGAACCTTGGGGCTTTCACCCGGGGCCAATTCTTGGCGGCGCGCAGGTGGGGGGGGGGGGTAGGGGGAAGGGGGAAAGCTTCCTAGAAGGAGGCTGCTTCTTGGAAGGCGCTGGCCTTGCAGCCAGAGCTTAAGGCCTGCGCTAATAATCTGGTGTGCTTCTAGGAAGCCTTCCTCCCTCCCCCTACCTGACTCTGCGCGTGGCCGAACTTCTTCGTCCTGAGCTGCTTTCCTCCGGTGAGGCACATCTGCCGTGAGACAAACTTCGGAGGCACAAACACATGCTAGTACTAGATCTCCTCCTTGGAGGCGCCCGACCCGAACACACAGCAAACCCACCTTGTAGTACACATCGTTTCCCGAGCGGTGCGGCCAGAAACACGGCCTGCCACGACGCATTGTGCTATGAGGCTCTCTCGGGCCGCGCAGCGCCCATTTGGGAGACGAAGCGCATACATAGTATACAGTCGGGCCTGATTGAAGAGGACACGCGAGAGGACACGAGACCCTTCCAGGGGCATCACTGCCATGGGAACGCCTCCTCCTCCTCCTCCTCCCCCTTCTTCTCCTCCTCCTCCTCCTCCTCCTCCTTCTCCTCCTTTTAGGAGTGCGAGAAGGCATGGGCCGCGAGGCACAGGACACAAAGGTACCCTTGGCTTGGCAGGGTCGACCTGCTAATCCGGGCCGACTGTAAGTATGCTGGGGTGACGCCGAACATGGGTGCTTGTGGAGACAGGCCCTAGAGCCTGGGGGCTTTCCCCTCGGACCAATTCGTCGTCCTGGGCCGTCCTTCCCCGAGTAGGGTTGCCTACACTTCGGTCGAAAGAGGCAGTATGCCATATGAAGCAGAAAGGTGTATCGAGTAGATTGAGCGCTCAGGCCCTCCCAGAGAATTACAAAGCACAGCCAAAGCACATCGGCTCCTGGAGTTGGAAGGCGCTTGAAGCAGATCGGGGTCTGGGAACCCAGAAATACCGACTTCTAGCTCGCCGTCGCTCAGGCGTCCATTCCACGTGCATGTTTCGATTCCGTGCGTGTTTTTTTGTCGCTCCTCCACACGTTCGAGCGATGCCGAGCCAACGACCGGCGCGTACAGGCCTTATAACTGCTTGGGAGCACCTCGTGGGCGCGAGACCTGAAAGGGGGGGCCAGCCTTCCTCGGGCTGCACGGAGTTCTATGTCCTTGCCGTGCTTGAGAAGGCTTCCCTGTACAGTCGGGCCGCTGACCTAACGAACGACAAATGACGAACGAGGCCCCGTTTTTCCAAACAGGTCAATGAAGTCGGAAGGAACACCAGGGGGGCTCGCCGCCAACAAAGGAGCGTAACGCATGCACACCGAGGGAACGACCGATCCCCTTTTGAAAAGGAAATGCCCCTTATTCAGCGGCCCGACTGTAGGGCTGCTTGGTCTTGGCTCCTTGTCGCTTTGACGAGACCTTCCTCGGGCTGCTCGGGGAGCCGCGCGTTATTGTTCTTCTCGGACAACGATCACATACACAACGCATGCTCGTCGAAAGGCTGTCCTGCGAACGTGGCCGAAACTCCGGCCAGGGACTCGGGCAGAAACGGGTTCGCGCCTCGCCAGAACTATGCTGCTGCTATGGGAATCGCGCGTACATACACTATAAAGTATCTGGGCCTTGTCCCACAGGGGACCGCAGAATCGCCACAGGAAAACGTATAGTCGACAATCTCCTGGCCCGTTCTCTGGGAGACAGGTGAGCCAAACATACGCTGTGTTTGGGCCGCCGTTTGCCACACAGTGTCGGACATACTACCATAGCATAGCGGACGCGCTCCTGGCCCCGATGCTAGCTGGCTCTTGCTTGCCGTACGCGAGCACCGGGCGCGCCCAAGCACCTGGGCGCTTCCCGGCCTCCCAGAGGCGCATGGCGCGAGGACCTTCGAGCACGCGCCCGTGGGGCAAAGTCCAGGCATGCGGCCGCCGCCGCGGCCCCACCCTCGGGGGGAAGGAGGAGGAGGAGGAGGAGGAGGAGGAGGAGGAGGAGGAGGAGGACGAGGAGGAGGAGGAGACGGAGGAGGAGGGAAGGAGAAGGAAGAGGAGAAGGATAGGACGGAGGATAATGGGAAAGAGGAGAAGAGAGGACGGGGAGGATGAGGATGAGGATGAGGAGGAGAAGGAGGAGGAGGAGGAGAAGGAGGAGGAGGAGAAGGA